GACATGGGGATGGGGAGAGGGAGAGGGAGGGGTGGGGACAGGGGGCACAGCAGGGGGAATGGGGACACAGGGACAGGACAGGCGTGAGGAGAGGAACGGGGTGGCCCGGATGTCACTGTGACCCCTACTCCACACCGGGTGGCTCTGGACTCACCCTGTCCCCAGGGCTGATGACCCTGGTGTCACCCTGTCCCCAGGGCTGGTGGCCCCGGCGGTGGCCTTGGACCGGCCGCGGTGGCAGCGGGACCCGACAGGGGACAAGTGAGTGATGGGGGAGGGCCCTGATGCCTGGGTCCACTCTGGGGGTGTTGAGGGACCCCAAGGGGGGACATTGGGACCCCAAGGGGGGACATTGGGACCCTGGGAGTGACTTTGGGACCCCAGGGGTGACATGAGGACACTGGGAGAGGACTTTGGTCCCCCAGGGGTGGCAGGGGACCCTGTCCTCACTCTTGGGGACCCCAGGAGTGACATGGGGACACTGGGAGGTGACTTTGGGACCCTGGGAGTGACTTTGGGACCCCAGAGGTGGCAGGTGACCCCATCCTCACTCTTGAGGACCCCAGGAGTGACAGGGGGACACTGGCAGGGGACTTTGGGACCCTGGGAAGGGACTTTGGGATCCCAGGGTTGAATGGGGACACTGGGAGGGGATTTTGGACCCCCAGGGGTGGCAGGGGACCCTGTCCTCGCTCTTGGGGACCCCAGGGGTGACTTGGTGACGCTGTCCCCAGCCCAGTGGCCAAGGTGACAGACAGCACCCATCGGCTTGAGGGGACAGTGGCCAAGGTCCGGTGCAGCGGTGAGTAGGGACACGTTGGGGACACTTTTGGTGGGGTGGACACTGGGTAGGGGACATCGGTGATGGGACACAAGGGGATACTGGGCAAGTGCCACCCTGTGTCCCTGTGGTGGCTGCCATGTCACCGCCCTGTCCCTGCAGCAGTGGCCTTGGGGGCGGCTGAGGAGGTGCCACACAGCGGGGTGACAAAGCATGAGGTGACGCAGGACGAGGTGAGGTGGGTTGGGGACATGGGTGGGCGTGTGGGGGGCTGGAGATGGGGGAAAGGGTGACAAAGGGGGACACCGGGCTGAGGGAGGGGCTGTGCTTGGGGACAGGGGTGGCTCCTGTCCCTGTGTTACCCCTCGTGTCACCCCCAGGTCATCCCCCACAAGGACAGGAGGGGACACCCCCCCAGCAGAGGTAGGTCTGCCCCTTGTGTCACCCACAAACGTCCCCATGTCCCCCTCGTCCCCATGTCCCCTGACACCCCTGGGTGCCCTCAATGTCCCCCTCAGCCTTAAATGTCCCCCCTCAGCGGCGCTGGGCTCCCTTGTGACTCAGCTGCAGGCCCTGGGCGCCGCCATCCTCGAGGACAACGGTGACAACCCTGACCCCCCCTTGACCCCACTGCAGACCCAGCCATCCCAGGTGAGTCACCCCCACCACCCCAACCAGTAGGGAGGGGACCAGTTTGACCCAGTCTGTCACTGGTGTGACCCACACGTCACCTCGGGTCACTTCCCAGGGGTCACTCAGCTGAAGGCCAAGGTTGGTGGGGTCGTGGTTTCCGTTGGGGACTTTGTCCCCAGACCCAGAGCCCTCCTCTTCCCCTCGAGGGTGCTGAGCGCTGTTTAATACCACCCGGTAAGCGCAGCCTAAGCCCCAGCGTCTTGCACTGAGCTGGGCCTTTCTGGAATTAACCCGGGTGCCAACATACTTTTTCCGAATATTTTACTACTACTTCAGATTTCTGTGAAGTTCCGCTGTTGTAGGTGCTTGCCCACGCTGCTCCACGCCCCCAGCCGCTCATAATTCTCCGATTTTGGGGTGGATTTTCAAGGGATAACCTTAAATAGTTGCTTAACCCTGAACTAAACCCCGAACCACGTGCACACGAGCTCCCGGCAGTAAGACGACCCGTTAATATCAACATTCCGAAAGTCTCTGAAATTCCTGAATTTCTGAAATCCTTCAGGCTGGAAAATCCCCTTGGGGTCAGCGAGTCCGACCCTCAGCCCGACTCTACGCAGCTCTCCCCTACCCCACATCCCCCTCAGCTCAGCCCAACGGCCCTGAAACCCCCCCGGGATGGGGACTCCCCCTCCCTGGGCAGCCTGTTCCACTCTCGGACCACTCTTGGGGGAAACATTTTCTCCTCCTGCCCAGCCTGACCCTCCCCTGGGGCAGTTTCCAGCCGTTCCCTCTTGTCCTGTCCCTGATCCCCTGGGAGCAGAGCCCAGCCCCGGCCTCTCCGCAATGTCCTGTCAGGAGCTGCAGAGAGGGATGAGGGCTCCCCTCAGCCTCCTCCTCCTCACCCTGACACCCCCAGCCCCTTCCCTGGCTCCTCACAGGATTGATTCTCCAGCCCTTCCCCAGCCTCGTTGCCCTCCTCTGCTCTCGCTCCAGCCCCCCCAGATCTCTCTGGGATTGAGGTGCCCAAACCTGGACACAACCCTCCAGGCGTGGCCTCCCCAGTGCCGAGCACAGGGGGACTGTCACCTCCCCGCTCCTGCTGGTCACACCAGTGCTGACACAAGCCGGGATGCCGTTGGCTTTCTTGCCCCCCCCTGGGCACGCTGCTGGCTCGTTATCCATCAATCACCCCCCAGTCCCTCTCTGACTGGCAGCTCTCCAGCCACCCCTCCCCGAGCCTGTAGCCACGCCGGGGGTTGTTGTGGCCCAAGGGCAGGACCTGGCACTCGCCCTGGCTGAAGCTCATCCCGTTGACGTTGGCCACCGACCCCGTTCTATGCAGGTCTCTCTGCAGCCTCCCTGTCCTCCTGCAGACCGACACTCCCTGTCACCTGTGCCCTCACTCATGACACCCTCTGTGTCCTTATC